ACTCAATTTTGTCAGCATTGAAACTGCTATTTCCTGCAAAACCATACAAAATTGCTGGAGTATTTTCAGAAAAAAACAAAGATATGCCATTTTTTTGGTTCCTTATCCATTGCCGATCACGTTTTTTTTTTAAAAGAGTCGCGTTTTGCAAACGAAAGCAGCAGATCGCATTCGATGAAAGGATGAAGACACAACCCATGAAATATAGCTGCCACAGGCATTCCAGACAGTACAAACTACCAATGAAGCTTTGCCCGAGAAGAGGCTTACTGTTAATAAACCAAAATTCATTCAATTCATACCCAGATGCCTTCAAACGGAGTGAAGTATGCGAGGAGGGGGGAGCTGCTGCTGCTGCATTCGGAGTCACAAAATGAGGCAAATTTCTGGCCTCATATTCATTTTGTAAATTAATGTTGGTGATAAAAATATCTTGCAAGCTGCCTATCCAACCGAACATTCATAGAGTTCCATCTTGTCCCAATCAATCACTAGCAATTTACATTCATTTCTTTATTCTTAGTTTTTGTAAATTTCTCCAATTTGCAAATTTCAATTCCAAATCGGATTCCACTTTCAATTCAATCGTAAAGTACTACTCTCTCTGTTTGCTGTCGCAGATGCAGTCCTTTCTGCAAAGGATATGGATCAATGCGGGTCCGAATTCCTCATCCTCATAATCTCTGAGACCTCTGGATCGTGCATACAAAAAAAGCAGCTTGAGTTTTTACATCCGTATATATCAGAAATATTACTTTATTTTATCCAGATGCTACCCTTACAAGCAAATGTACTTCCCATCCTAGACGCATCACAGTTGTCTGATAAAATCGGCCAAGAATAGAAAGAAGTGGGCAAACAGTTGCACAGAGAAGTGTGGTCTATTCTTCTTAGTTGATAATGGCGAGAGTTACACGGTGAAACGCAAAAAAAAGCACTTACAAGAGTTGGCCCAAATGTTTCAGCAAGAAGTGCTGGCTTTAGCATAACGGTGCATGTGGCAAATGGCCGTAGCCAAATAGTCAGCTCCGAAAGTTTCGTTTTTTCGGTTACATTCTTCGCCAGAAACTTCTTCATCAGTGCAAAACCATCAATGCTACCAAAATAACTCAGCAAAAGCAACAACCAGAAGTGCAGCACACGCTGAAATAATTTATCAAAAAAATAATAATTCATAAAAATTACGTTGATCTACAAAAAATGTTGACCGAAAGGACCGTACCCATCCCCTCCACCCTCCCCCCCTCCTGCCCTAGTCCCCACTCATCAACACCGTCGTAATTAATAGCAATGATGTACGGATCCGAAACGTGGTCACTGACAAAAACAGAATAGCAAATGCTGCCTTCAGCGTACACTACCTGTTCCTTGTAGCTCGACACAGATGGGTCCGATTTAGCTGTGCCCGCGTGGAACTGCATCTCAATAGCCTAAAAGGGATTGGTAGAATGATTATCCTGGCGATCATCGTATTTAACACATAAATACATAAGATACTGAAAATACCTGCTGCATATCTTCAACACAATTAAGACATGTGTAACGCAATAAGTCGGCTGTATTGTACTCCACGTGCAAATACTCCAATTTACGCCCAAGATTTTGTGAGTGGAAGCTGAAAAACAAAAAAAAAAAGAAAATCGTGAGAATGCAGCAAAAAAAACCATCAGAGATTACAAAACCGTGAGAATAAAACACAAGCCAAGAGGAGCGAAGGCAGCTAGGCCTGCAATCACAACAGAAATTAGATTCCACTTCGCGATAACTCCACATTACCTTGACATTTCGACCAGTTGTTGTTTATTTCAAGCCGGGTTCGTTCTCGCGTCGA